GGAGAACTAAATGTCCGGATATCAACCACGACGTGGATGATTTCCGACCAGGCGCGGGGACAGCTCAAGGCCGGTTCATGGCCCGTCCGTGCTCGATGGTTCCCATGAAGGCCTGTCCCGAGACCTGCACGCTCACCCGCTGCGTCAGCGGATCTGGACAGGACGGCGGGCCCACCGCGTTCCGCGCCGGTTACGAGGCGGGCGCGGCCGGGGTGTCCGCTGGCGGGCTTGCTTCGGCCGCCGGCTTCGCCGTCTCGGCGGGCTTGGCCGCCGTCTTGCGGGTCTCTTGCTGGCGGGCCTTGAGGGTGGCGCCACCGTCTGCTGGCCGTACTTCTTCGTGAACCGCTCGACGCGTCCCTCGGTGTCGATCCAGCTTCTGGCGGCCGGTGAAGAACGGATGGCAGTTGGAGCAGATCTCGAGCCGGAGCTCCTTGCGGGTGGATCGAGTCTTCCAGGTCGCCCCGCAGGCGCAACGGGCCTCGACTTCGTGATATTCCGGATGAATGCCAACCCTCACTGTCTACTCCTCGTCAAGTAACCAAACGCGGCATTATACCACCGTCAACGATGCGGATCGCGCCGCGGCCGGGTTCCCCCGCCGGCCGGTGACCGTCCGCGGGAAGGGATCGCATCGATGGGTTCCCGACGCGCGGTCAAGATGCGGGGTTCCGGTCTGCCGGCGGGGCGGGCGCTCGCGGCGTTCGCGGCGGCTTGCCGCCGCCGCCGGACAGGACGACGAGGGCCTGAACATCGTCCTGTTTCCTGATCGACGATCCGGGCTGCCGGGACGTCGGAGTCTACAACCCGGGCTCACGGCGCCGGCCTCGTCGAGTATGCTGGTGGGCCGAAGGAGGACACGCATGTCGCTGAGCACGTATCTCACTTTCGATGGAAACTGCCGCGAGGCCTTCGAATTCTACCGGTCGGTTTTCGGCGGGGAGTTCACGTCGTTCCAGACCTTCGCGGACGGGCCGCCGGACATGCCCGTGCCCGAGGCCGAGAAGGACCGGGTCATGCACGTGTCCCTGCCCATCGGGTCGAGCGTCCTGATGGGCAGCGACCGCGCCTCGGGGTTCGGACCGCCGCTGGTCGTGGGCAACAACTTCTCCATCACCCTCGAGGGGAAGAGCAAGGCGCACTGCGACGAGGTGTTCGCCGCGCTGTCCGACGGCGGCTCGGTCCTGATGCCGCTGCAGGAGACGTTCTGGGGCGCCTACTACGGGTTGTGGACCGACAGGTTCGGCATCAACTGGATGGCGAACTACACCCTCCCGACCGCATGAGCCGGGACATCACCTCGGAAAGGAACCGATCATGACCGCAATGCCGACCACCCGACGTGCGGCCTGTCTCGCCGCCGCCCTCGTTGCCGTCGCCGCCCTCGCTTCGGCCCCGGCCCGCCCCGCCGCGCAGGGGCCCGACCATCTGCTCGACGTGGTGCAGCTCCTGGCCGACGGCGAGGTCGTCTTCGGATCGTTCGCCAACGTCGAGTCGGGGGCCTCGGGGGCCGTCGACATGTCCCGATCCGACGCCGACTACATCTTCTTCGACATGGAGCACGGCCCCCTCGACATGGTCGAGCTGCGCGACTACATGCAGTACCTGCTCGACCCCGCGCAGATCCTGCGCCGCGGCCGGCCCGGGACCGACAAGGCCGTGTGGGTCCGCATTCCCGCCAACGGCCGCGAGATGAACGAGTGGATGATCAAGAACGCCCTCGACCAGGGGGTGCACGGGATCATCGCGCCGCACATCGAGACGGCCGAGCAGGCGCTGCACCTCGTGCGGTCGATGCGCTATCCGCAGCGGGTCGGCGCCGCCGACACCGAGCCGGTGGGGCTGCGCGGCTCCGGCCCCGGCAACGCGGTCCGGTACTGGGGCGTCTCGGGCGCCGACTACATCGCCAAGGCGGACGTCTGGCCGCTCGACCCGCAGGGCGAGCTGCTCAACATGATCCAGATCGAGAACAAGCTGGGCATCGCCAACCTGGAGGAGATCGCGGCGGTGCCGGGGGTCAGCATGCTGATGGCGGCGCCGGGCGACCTCGGATGGCCTACGGCGGCGATGCCGAGGCGACCGAGGAGGCCCTGCAGACGGTCCTGCGCGCGGCGACGGCGGCGGGGCTGCCGTGCGCGATCACGCGGGGCCGGGCGACGTCGAGCGCCGCATCCGCGAGGGGTTCCGGGTCCTGATCGGCGGTCCGGAGATGATCGCGGTCGGCCGCCGGGCGGCGGGACGGGATTGAGACGGCCCCGGGCGGGCGGAACCCGCCCGGGTGGAGGAAAGGAGCGTGGGGTGAGCAGGGTCTCACCCCACGCCGGATCAGAATATCGCGAGCGGGTTCAGCGGCGATCCGGTGCCTCCTCGAACCCGCAACGGCGCTCCCACGAAGAGGAACTCCCAGCGGCCGCGCCGGGCCGCCTCGGCCGCGACCGCGTCCAGATCGAGGTTGTCGAGCACCGGCATTCCCAGCCCCACGAGGACCAGCTCGTGGAGAGGGTTGGCGAGCCCGTCGATGCCGGACGGCATGACGTCGCTGACGCCGTCGCTGCCGATGACCGCCACGTCGCGCGCCTTGAGCCACTGCGCGACCGAGGCGTGCGAGCCCGCGGCCCGCTCCACGAAGTTCCACTGTCCCATCTGCCGCACCGCCTCCCAGCGGCCGGTACGGATGAGCAGCACGTCGCCGCTGCCGATGCGGATGCCCGTGGCCTGCTCCCAGGCCTCGAGGTCCTCGGCGGTGAGGGCGGTCCCCGGCTCGAGATAGTCGACCCCCCGGTGCCGCGGCATGTCGACCAGCACCCCGCGGGTCACGATGCCGTTCCGCGCGTTGTGGATGCCGAGCTTCTCGGCGCCGCTCTCGGCCAGCCCGCTCACCGGGAAGCCGTTGTACATCCGGCCGTCGTGGGCGAAGTGCGGCAGGCCGTCCACGTGCGAGTGGGCGAACCCGTGATACTGCACGCGGTAGACGTCGCCCGCCACCTCGTGCTCGGTGAACCGGGAGGTGGAGAGGGTGTGCTCGAACGGATTGGCGTTCAGGGCGTCCCGCTCCGTGTTCAGGTCCAGGGCCATCGACACCGAGACGCCGTCTTCCACGAGCCTGGCGGCCGCCTGCCGGGTTTCGTCGGTGATCAGGTTGAGGGTGCCCAGCTCGTCTTCCGGGCCCCAGCGGCCCCAGTTCGAGATGTCCTGCATCCACTGGTTGAACTCGGCCCGGCTCACCGGCGCGGCGGCCTGGCCGGCCGCCGGCCGGGGCAGGGCGGCCAGCGAGACCAGCAGCACCGGGGCGATCAGGGCGGCCGCGGTCCGAAGCCCGCGAGGAGTCTGCGCCGCAGAACGGCGCGGACTCCTGCAGGATTGGTCGGGCGGACGGCGGCGCCGCGGGGCGCCGTTGTCCGGGCTCGGGCGTGCAATGCGCATCATGTGATCCTCCGCTCCGCCGCTACTGGCCGCCTTCTTCCGACCGCTCGCGCGCCCGGGCGCCGCTCAGGATGTTGGTCATGCCGTAGTTGCCTTCGTGGCAGGCGTACTCGACCAGCTCGTACTGCTCGTCGTCCTTGTCGTACCGGAACATGGCGGTCCAGGGCCGGGTCCAGGTCGAGGGGTCGTCGATGGTGAACTGATACTCGAGCACCGTCGGGCCGAGGCGGGTGAAGCGCTCGGTCAGCGTCAGGTTCTCGCTGGACCCGCGGTACGGCGCACGGCCGTTGAAGTTCGTGGTCTCGACCACCAGCGTGTCGCCCTCCCAGCGGCCCTGGGGCACGCCCAGCCACGCCGTCAGGCCGGGTGCGGGCGCGGGACGCGCTTCGGTGGGAATGACCCGCGTTTCGTGAATCATCTCCTTCTGGATGGCCACGTGCCCCGGCCCCTGCACGATCTGCAGGCCGTTGTTGTAGATGGACGGCATCATGAGGCCGGGCAGACCGCGGCTGATGCACCGCACGAACAGGCTGAGGTCTTCGGGACCCTCCGCGATGCGGCCCACCCCCGAGGTGTCCACGCGGGTGGCCAGTCGCGCCTGCGCCTCGGCCGTCATCGGCGGAATGCGCCCGTCGGGGGGATCGACGACCATCGCCACCTGCCGGGACGGGGCGGTCTTCACGTAGCCGAGGGTCGTGTCGCGCCACTCGCGCTCGTAGCCCCAGATGCTGCCGAGGGTGCCGCGCTCGCGCCGCGCCTCCGCCTCTTCCGGGGTCAGCGAAGCGATGTCTTCGAGGTCGTCGGGACGCTCGAGGGGAATGCCGTGCGCGGAGTTGCCGGTCCACACCCCCTGGAGATCCGGTTCGCCCCACGGCGTACGCGGCATGGTGTAGGGCTCGAGGTCGCGGTGGCGGTCTCGGTCGGGCGATCGGCCTCCACGCCCGCCCATCTGGTCTCCACTACCGCGAGCCGGACGTTGTCCGGACCGACGATGAATGCCCGCTGCGCCGAGGTGCGGGCGTTCTGGGGCACCGACGGCTCCTGCTCGAAGACGACGTCGAACTCGAGCATGTCGGCGGCGGCGGCGTCGAGATCGTCCACGACGAACCCGATGTGGTCGACCGCGCGCCCCACCGTGGTGGCGGGAACGCCCTGGTCGTGCTGGGACACGAGCAGCCAGACGTCACCGAACTGCAGGCCGTCGATCCGCCCCCGCAGGCTGGCCGGCTCGCCGCCGAACACGTCCCGGTACCAGGCCAGCGTCGCGTCCGGATTCTCGGCGCTCAGGTGGACGTGGTGGAAGCCCAGGGTGTCCTCGTCCTCGACCATCTCGATCCGCGTGCCCCACGGGTCGAAGATGAACCCGATCTTGAACAGGCCGGGAATGTCGCGCAGGGTCGATCCGTCGGGAACCGCTGCAGCCGGACCCCGGAGCCCCGCACCCCGACCGCCCTCGAGCTCGGCCATCTTGGCGGTGAGGTCCGGGTACGAGAAGCTGATGTGGTTGACGCCGGTGCCCTGCGTGCTGCCCAGCGTCGGCTGCACGACGAACGTCAGCTCGACCCCGCCGCAGTCGGCGGCGTCGGGGCGGTCGGCGATCGGCTCGCAGTCCAGATACTGGTTGTACCAGCGCACCCCTTCGGTTGACTCGAGTCGTGATTGTTTGTTTACGTGGTGGTAGTCGGCGCGCGCGTGTGGTTCATCGCCGGGCATCGCGACTGAGCGCGTGTCACGTGCCCCGGCGTAGCGCAGAACGTATCGGGTGGGTTTCATCACAAGCTCCCTCCGCATGTGGGCAGGTTCGTCGATGAGCAATTTGCTTCCACTACCTTAGATCCATCCATGGTGCGACTGCACGGTATTTTCCGGGAGGGCCTCGCAGTTCCGCCTCTGTATCGACAGGACCCCCGCAAATTGTGGTACTCTGAACGTCCCGCGGCAGGGCGTGGGAGTCTTCCGAGGCGGGAGTAGTGCGTCCTCGCCGCCTATTCTCGCGCGCCCCCGGTCTCGGCATCGACGCTCCGGTCGTGCTTTTGCGTGGTCGCGCTGTTGCTTCCCGCCCCGCCCCCCCCCCACCGCCACCTGCTCGCTGCCCAG